GGCCTCGGGAGCAGCCGCGGGTGCGGCGGTGCGGGGTCACGCCCTGGAACGGGGGGGAAAGGGGGTCCACCATACCCCAGGACACGGCCCGGTGTGCGGCACACCGAAGCCTCAGCTCATCCCTGCGGGGACCCCGCGAGGCAGGTGTTCTCTGAAGCCGGTTTCGCCACTTGCGCAGGGCTACGGAGCGGGGACTGCAGCGGCTGGGGCTCGAACCTGGGCGGAGCAGGTGGCCGCCCCGGGGCCGCGGCTCTAGGCGCGCTCTTCCAGCCGGGCGGAGCCTAGAGGGTCGGTGCGCTGCCGACTCCGCCCCGGGAGGGCGGGGCCTCCCGAGTGGGCGGGGGCTCCCGCCTGAGGAGGGTCCGCACGGGCCCCTTGTCTGAGCTGGACGGACGGAAACACACACACGCACACACTCGTCCTGACACACACACCACACATACACAAACACGCCTACACCGCATTCTCTCCTCCTGGGATCCGCCCCGGGCCCCTGGGGGAGGGAGCGAGGCCAGTGTCGGACCCAGACACCCATTCCTCCTTTCCTGATTCATTCGTTTCTGACCTTGACTGTGTCCTCCGTGCTAGACTTGAGGCGGCTGGGAGGTTAGAGTACCTGCCGACAGGAAGCTTGCTGGAGGTCGTGACAGACACAATTTAGGCATTTTAGTCTCGGGTCTTTTGTTCCTGCCCAAGCATCCCACCCTAGGCTTTCCTACCCCTGCTGGGTCGTAACGGCTTCTGCTGAACATCCTTTCCTCTCGTCCAGCCGCAGCGCAAGGTCCCCTCATCAGTACACCCTTCATGCCTCCCACACTTCAGGTGCTTCCAGTTTCCCCCGTTATTCATAATGCTGTCACATCAGTCAGGATCCCGTGGGAAAACAGATGGCTTCCGCAAAGTAGGGAAATTCCAGGACGGTTATTTACAAAGGAGGGGGTACTGCTTACAGAAGGGGAGAGGGGGTTAAGGGAACCAGAGACAGAGTCCAAGTCTGCAGGGCCAGCACGGGGTGGGGGGACAGTTACCACCCCTAGAGCTGGAGGGAAGCAGGAGGGGAGGTCACCAGCAAACAATGAAAGTCACCGAGGGGATGACTGACCTTGAGAGCAATGACATTCCATCAAGTGATACTGTCTGTCCAAGGTCTCCACCGGAAGAGCGGGCTGGATTCCCTGACCTCCCACTAGAGCACTTCACTGGGCCAACCCACTGGGTTCGCTGGGCCAGGAACCTGTGGATGCAAACCATGGAGGTGGGCACAAGATTCAAACACAGTTCTTATGACTCTAAATCCTGCACTCCATACACACTTTGCATTGTTTTATAAGCTTAGAATCCACTTTGCAATAACTGGATATTTTGTAGCAAGAAGTCAAAAAAATGAGCTTTCACATGGTACCTGTGAGCTTGGACTGCGGAGCTAGACCACTCGCTCTTCAGGTCTGGTTGTATAATTTTGGGCAAGTCATGCAACCTTCCTGTGCCTCAGTTTGCTCCTCTGTAAAATGGAGGTGATACTGCCTTCCTCAACGATTTTGTCTGGATTGCATAAAATGATGAGGGTGGCACACCATGAATGCCAAACAGGCATTTGCCGTTACCCTGTACCAGGTGAGACACTTGTTGCCAGACTAGGGTCCCTGGTCTTGGAGCCACTGCGCTTGTCTGCTGATCTGGGTGCCCAGAGGTACAGCCTAACCTTGAAATGCCTCCACCAGCTGAATAGCAGTGTCTTCTCTCAGTCACCCACCTCAGCCTCCTCCACACAGATGTGAACACAAGCCAGAACAGGATGATCTGTCCTTTCTGCCAATTCAGAAGGCAGCTGGTGGCAGGGTTGGCCCTCTTGGGATGTGGAGATGACATGACTGACTGCTACCATTTGTACTGAGGGGCCTGAGATGATGCTTGATACGTTCCAGAAACTCCTCCAAGTGAATGAGCAGGACACTGGATGTGCCTTCTAGGGACCCCTTAGGCTGCCTGGCTGAGCAAGGAGGGCGGCTCAGCTGAATTAAGAGTGACAAGCACATCAAGGCTGTGTGGGAGCCTTGCTGGAGAACATGGTCTTGACACAGATGTGTCCACTGGGCCTGAAGGGGTATTTACACAACACAACACACACACATACACAGGTATAGGTCACAGCCCATTCACCCGCTTGTCACCTCCGCAGTCCACTTCTAACCCTCTCTACTTGTAACATAGTGATTAAAGTCAGAAGATCTGATTCAAATTCCAATTCAAAAGCCCAAACACGCAAAGACAGTTCCGTCTGGACAAAATGCCTAATGTTATGTTTAAAATTAATTCATATTCTTATCCAGGTAATCCATGGACTTGATTTGGAACCAGGCAAATAGCATGAAAATGCTTCTGATGAACACAGCAGGCCCATCTCTGCCTCATTTCAATTCTTTTATTGTGCATGCTTGTGATCTTCATAGTTATAAATACCACACGTCTACGCTGTTTCTTGTTTTCCATTCTAGATATTATTACCTGGCTCCCTACAATGGCAGATGAGAATTCAGCAATCTTATTTGCTCTCTCCCAAAACATCTTTTCCCTTTTCACAACACAGCTATATCCTATTTCTGGTTTAAACAATGTTCAAGACTCCCTTACTGTACCCTTGTAAATACTGTTCACTGCTAAGCCAAGTTGTATACAAACTTTTGCTATGACACGTGTTTCATTCATGCACATTAGCTCACAGGTGATTGGTAGGCAGAGGGACGACGTCAGTAGAACCCAGGTGTTGGGTACTTCATATGCAATTTTCCCCAGTGTATTAATGTTCTAAAGTCAACAGGGACAAGTATTCCAACAATTAAAAGGGGGCCTTAGCAATCTATGAAGACCTGAAAAACTTAGGTAAGCTGAAAAATCCCACAGGAAAGCCTTCCCTGAATGCAAGAGTGGTGTCATGTAAGATCCCATCCCTCCCTTCCGTGTTCAGTCTTTCTGGGGAAGCTGAGCGTGCAGATGAAGAGACTGCAAAGACATGCCCTGTATTAAAACATTTTGTTTTTGATGGTTAAAGAAAGCTACCTCTAGATAGTATTGCTGATGAAACTCGTCTCTTTTAGAGGTGAACGTTTCCAGGAGTCAACATCTCCTGAGAGCAACCAATAGCCTGAAGTCTAAGACCACAAAGAAGGGACCAGCTTTGATTTAAAGTGCTAATACCCGAGGAGAAATCACTGTGTTAGGATCTTTATTCGTACTATTTATTAGGGCTCTGGTTACAAAGTTCCAAGGTGTAAAACAGAAAGTTAATAAAGGATGTGTAGAGAAGACATAAAGAACTCTTATAACTCAATCATAAGACAAACAACCCAATAAAAAAAATGAGCCAAAGATTTTGAAGAGACACTTCAGCCGAGTTGTAGATGACACATAAGCACATGAAAAGGTCATCATCAATGAGATACCATCACATACTTGCTATGAAGGCTAAATGACTCAGATGATATCAAGTACTGACAAGGAGGTAGAGCACCTGGAACTCTCATGCATGGCTGCTAGGAATGCAAAATGGTTCAGCCCCTTTGGAAAACAGTTTAACATTTTCTTTTTTTTAAATTGAAGTAAAAAAAATGAAGTAGAATTGAGTTACAATATTGTGCTAGTTTCAGGTGTATAGCAAAGTGATTCAGACATATATATATACATATTTATATTTCAGAGTATTTTACATTGTAGGTTATTACAAGACATTGAATATAGTTCCTGTGCTATATAGTAAATCCTGATTTTTTTTATCAACACCTTTATTGTGGTAAGCAAACTCTTATTGTTTATCTGTTTTTTTATAGTACTTTTTTTTGTATAGTACTTTGTATCTTTTAATCCCATACTCCTAATTTATCCCTTCCCCGCTTTTCCGCTTTGGTAACCATAAGTTTGTTTTCTGTAGTTGTGAATCTGTTTCTGTTTTGTATACAGATTAATTTGTATTATTTTTTAAGGTCCACATATAAGTGATATCAGATAATATTTGTCTTTATCAGACTTACTTCACTTAGTGACTTAGTGTGATATTCTCTAGTTCCATCCATGTTGCTGCAAATGGAAATATTTCATTCTTTTTTTTAAGGCTGAGTAATAATATTCCAGGTATATTTTGTTAAACCAGTCATCTGTTGATAGGCGCTTGGATTGTTTCCATGTCTTGGCTATTGTAAATAGTGCTGTTACGAACACTGGGGTGCTGTATCTTTTTGAATTAGAGTCTTCTCCAGATATACGCCCAGGAGTGGGGTTGCTGGATCATACAGTAGCTCTATTTTTAGTTTAAGGAAACTCCATATTGTTTTCCACAGTGGCTGCACCAATTTACATTCCCACCAACAGTGTAGGAAGGTTCCCTTTTCTCCACACCCTCTCCAGCATTTTTTATTCGTAGACCTGATGATGATAGCCATTCTGAGCAGTGTGAGGTAATACCTCACTGTAGTTTTGATTTGCATTTCTCTAATAATTAGCAACGTTGAGCATCTTTTCATGTGCCCGTTGGTCATCTGTATGCTTTCTTGGAGAAATACCTATTTAGGTCTTCTGCCCATTTTTTGATTGGGTTGTTTGGGGTTTTTTTTTGTTATCAAGTTGTATGAGCTGTTTGTATATTTTGGAAATTAAGCCCTTATCGGTCACATTGTTTGCAAGTATTTTCCCCCAGTCCCTAAGCTGTCTTTTCATTTTGTTGATGGTTTCCTTTGTTGTGCAAAAGCTTATTAGTTTGATTAGGTCCCACTTGTTTATTTTTGCTTTTATTTCTTTACTGTGGAAAACTGATCTAAGAAAATATTGTTACGATTTCTGTCTGAGGATGTTTTGCCTCTGTTCTCTTCTAGTTTTATGGTGTCATGTCTTATATTTAAGATCTTTAAACCAATTTGAGCTTATTTCTGTATATGGTGTTGGGGAGTGTTCTGATTTCATTGATTTACAGGTAGCTGTCCAGCTTTCCCAGCATCACTTGCTGAAGAGACTATCTTTTCTCCACTGTATCTTCCTGTCTCCTTTGTTGAAGCAGAGTGGTCCTTAAAGTCTTCTTGGTCTCATACCCAATCCAGTCTACCAGAAAATGCTTTCAGTTCTACCTTCAAAACATCTTCAGAACCTCACCAGAACTCGCCACCTCCACTGCATCCATCCGGGACAAGGCAGCACCATTGCTTACTTGGATCACTAGCAAAGCATCCAAAACGGCCCCTGCTTCTGCCTTTGCTGCCCACTCACCACCCACCACCCACCCTTGAGTCCATGCTCAACCTAGCACCCAGCATGATCCTTTTAACATAAATAAGATCATTTTACTCCTCTCTCAAAACCCTCCCTAGGGAGGAGGGTATAGTTCAGTGGTAGAGCACGCGCCTAGCATCCACAACGTCATGGGTTCAATCCCCAGCACCTCCAGTAAATAAATAAATAAATAAATAAATAAATAAATAAATAAAATAAATCTAATTACCTCCTCCTCACCCCCCAAAAAGAAAAACAACAACAACTCTCTCTGGCTCTCCATGTCACCCAGCACATGCCAAAGTCCCTCCACAGCCCACAAAGTCAACACAAGTGCCACCTCCTGTCCCCACTTTCACCCCATCCCCAGCAACTTCCCCCTTGTTTGCTCTAATCCAGCCTCCTGGCTGCCTGGCTCAATTATACCAACCCCACTCCTGCCTCAGGGTCTTTGTACTTTCTCTTCCCTCCACCTGGGGAGTCTTCCCAGATTCTATATGACTAGGGCTGGCTACATCATTTGTGGGGCCCAGGGCAGAATGAAAATGGGGGATTCCTCATTCAAAGAGCAGGGGAAAAAAGTATCATATTAAATGTACCAAACTAAAAAATGTTTTCCTTTCTTCCAAGACAGAGTCTCTCTCTCTTGATCTGTCCCAATCTTTTTAATTTGTTACTTATTGTTGCACTCCCTGGGGCAAAAGGATGTTTGCCAAGAGCTTGCAGACCCTGACTGGTACCCAGGGTCCCACACTTGGTACACACACAAATCACTGGCTGCTGAGTAATCATTATTAGCAGGGAAGAGAAAATAATCTCCCCTTCCCATGGGTGACACCCAAGGGGTTATAACCTCTGTGCAGGAAGTACTCAGTACCTTGCCCCTACCAAATCACTTACAGAATATGCTGGATGGCTGCCAGCCTGGGGCAGGAACAGCCACCTCCATGTCCTACCCTGAGATGCCCTGGGGCGCATGTGACGGTCCTGACCCTCCCTGTGCCCATCTCAGTTTCCCACTGAAGGTGGAAGGTAACAGCAGTTGGTGGGCTGGTGTGTGTGGCTCTGATGGGGTCCAGGGCACCAGCCAGCAGAGGAGTGGGCAGCCACAAGGCAGGGGAACAGCGGAAAGGAAGACAACCCCTTAGGCATATTCCGTTATCCCGCTGGACTCCACTTACACAGCACACATTCAAGGGTAAAATTATCAAGACTTTCCAGAAGAGGCCACAGAGCACAAGCCCTGAGGGTGGGACCATCAAGGCAGGACCCTGGGTGGCTGTGCTGGTCCAAGAAGCAGACCTTGTGCCGGCTTTTCTCCCTGTCTCATCAGAGAGGCCACCCCTGCCCCTCCCACCACACCTGGCACACCCTTTCCTGGTACTCTAGATAGCAGTAGGAGTATTTTTAAAAATCTGCCTCTAAAAGAATTAATAATAAATTAAAAAATAAAGTCTGTCCCCGACCCCTGAAACATGCACCATGGGGGCGAAATCTACCAGCACCTAGAAAAGCGCCCAGTACATCGGAGATGCTCAGCTAACAAACTGAAAAAACAGATAAAGGAATGAATGAGTGAGTGAGTGAATGAATGAATGAATGAATGAGTGACTCGCATCCTTCTGCAGCCCTCTCAGCCTTGTCAACTCACCTCCCGCTGCTTTCCGCCTTCAAAACCAGCACTGGACTCGGGCTCCGCGTCTGTGTCCTGCTGCTGCCCTCGTGGGCTTGTCGTCAGCCCCTCAGAGGTGTGGAGTCCTGGAGCGCACCCGCGCCCGCCGGGCCTTCCTCGCCAGCCCCTTCCTCCTTCTCAGCCCCGCTTCCCTGGAATTCAGAGTGCTAGTCCTAAGGGCGGGGCTTCCTGGGGGCTACTCGGTAGGAAGGTTGAGCAACTTGCCCGAGGCGCGCAGCTGCTAAGTGTCTGGGCGGGGACTTGAACCTGGGCCTCCACCTATGGCAGAGCCTCCGGGCTCTACCAGGGCACAGGCCCCCAGCTGCCTCGCTGTCCGGATCCCAGGCGGCGGGCGGGGAGCGAGCGCCGCCGCGCGAGCCCTCCGCGGGAGCCTGCGTTGCTCACGGTTAGGCTCTGGGGCGGGGCTGCGCTCCGGGCCAGGTGCCTGGGGGTCTGGAGCCAGACCTCGCTGCTTTTCCCGAGGCTTCCAGAGCCTTGGCAGGGCAATCAATACCCACCTCCCTCAGCTTGGCAGGGAGCAGCTGGGGGGCGGGACAGCACCGAAGAAAGGACTGAGGTGTGTCCCAGTGCTTCCCAGCTGGGGAGCGGCGGCAGGGGGACTCACTGGGCACCTCAACAAGCAGCCCAGGCTCCGGGATGGGGACAGTACAGGTGGCCTTCCCCCCTGCGGGTGACAGGCCACACCTGCAGCGGGCAGCTCCAGCCATTCAGGTCCCAAAGGCCCAGATTATCACTGCTGGGTTTGGAGGAGGGGCCAGGACTCCCACCACGAGGGACTGGGAGCTGTCCCTGGGGAGGAGATAAGGAGCTGTGGTGCTGGAAGGACACTAAGAGCGGCTCAAGCACTGGCCTGGGTTCCAGAACCCTGCCGGTTAGAAGCCTTCCCAGCACCTCCTGCTGCCTCTGACCTCCTCTGAGGTTGAGCGGACTTGTCAGGTAACTCCGACGTGGTTTTGTAGTGAGTCTGCCTTCTGCTGGCTCCCAGAGTGCGCTTTCACACAATCTTCTATCCTCACCACGGTCCCTGGGAAGTGAGTCCTGCCACCACATCCCCATTTGATGGATGAGGAAACTGAGGCTGGCTAACTTGCCACCCACGGTCACACCTGCCTGTGGGCCTGGACCCTCAGGCTCTGTTCCAGGAGCTCCCAGGCCTTTGGGTGGCAGTAACCGTCCCTCCAGTTCTGCCATCAAACACCCCTGCCAGGTGGTAGGTGTTCTGGAGGATGGCAGTCACACCCGGGCCTGCAGGCACCAGCTCAGGGCCAGTTAGCCTGGAAAACAGTCCATCTGGTTACTGTCAGACCCAAATTTCTCATCTCCTCCACCAGCCAGTTGGGCTCCCTGGTCCCTCAACCCTTGCCTTCCTTGCTCCCATGCCCTCCAGGCTGGGGGCCACTGACCAAGTTTCATCCTAGCCTGGCAACACTGTGCTGCTCTGGGGGGGCTGGCCTCGAAGGCAAACAACAATAGTGAGTGTTCTGGGAGGGGGTAATGCTCACCCTGGTGGCCCCTTCAGCGCTCAACACAGCAGTGATCTGCCAGTGACCTGGGGGGTCCCAGTTGCTGAAGGAGGCCTGGCTCTTGGGTTCTCCATTCCACCTCCCCTGGGGGCTGCCCCCCAGCCTTCCCCTTGTCACTCCCTCATCTGTCTCCCCTCTCACCCCTGCCTTTGCTCCTGCTGTCATTGGACCCCAGGATGTCCTTGGTTCCATCTTCTCTGGTTAGAATCCTACCTGGTCTTCAAGCTTCAGCCCAGATACTCCCTCCTCCTCGGAGCTGTCCCTGGTCTACCCACCTTCTCTTCTCGTCTATCTCTTGACATTGGGCTAAGCACTCAGCAGGCTTTATCTCAACTAATCCTTACAGCAATCAGACACAGCCTCGAGGAGGATCAGCCTTGCCCCCACTTCCTGCTCCCAAACTCAGGGCAGGCTGGAAGGAAGGGTGTTGGCTGGGCCCCAGGCTCCCAAATCCTTGGGGTGGTTGCCCTGGGCTTCACTCCAAAGGCTCTCCAGATGGGCCTCCCAGGCTGCAGGAAGGGGTCCTAAGCGTCCGGCCCACTCTAGTCCCCAGGAATGCACCCCTACCCCAACTAGGCTCAGGGCTGCCCCACAAGGCCACTCGCTGACAGTCAGTGACGTGCACCACTCTGACCCGCAGTCTCCTTAGTTTTGAATTAGAGCTTAGACTTCCCTGAAGGCCCAGGCGTGCACTGCTGGAAGGCAAACCAAGCTGTAGTGAGTCAGGCCTTTGTAACTCAACAGGCTTCACACTTGTTAGTAGTTAACTGGTAGCTGCTACTAATGATAACTTGCCAGCTCATCAGCCAGGCCTGTGGGCAAGAGCTGGTGTTGGATGCTGGGTGCTGGGAGCTGGGAGCTGCCGCCGTGGGGAGGGAGGGGTGGGGCTCTGCCTCAATCCAACCTTCTAGGGCACTGTGATGTCCCCACCTGAACTCCTCCCCCACCTTCCACATTTCCACTGTCATGAGTGTCATCTTCCTGGTACATGTCCGTTCCTCCACTCTGTCTGCAACCCTTCGTGACCCCACCACTCTGCAAGCGCCTGGCACCCAGAAGTGCACAGGGTAGGAGTGTGGGTGAGTGAGGAAGGACCTCAGATATCTCCGGCCCCCTCTTGTTTTGCAGTTGGGAAAGCCAAGGCCAAGGGAGGTTGTGGGGGCCGGGAGAGGCTGGCCCAAGGACACACTGTGAAGTGGGTCAGTGCTGGGAGGCTGCAAGCCAAACAAGGGACCTTAAACCAGGTCTTCAGTTTGATCTCAGGTTGGGATCTGGGTTCCAGAAGGCTCCAAGATCTGCAGTTACAGGTCAGTCTCAGGCCAGCGAGCATCCTGGGGACACTGCTGGGTGTTGTCCTGCACCTGTCCTGACCGGAGCTCGGTTGTCTGAGTGTCCACAGCAGCCTGGGCAGCTGGGATGGGAGCGGAGCAGCACCAGCTCTGCTGGGTCTCCAGGGAAGGGGACAGGGGCCCCAAAGACGCATGGGGGTGGGAGCCATCCCTAGGCATTCTGGGGCAAATGCCAGGGGCCTTGAATTTCTCCAGCCCCCAGGCCCACCACTGCAACCTGTCAGTTTCCACCCAGCCAGGCCCCCACTGCCTCTTCACAGACAGTGCCACTCACCGGGCTTCCTGTCCCCAACCTCACTCTTCCCAAGTGTTCACACAGCTGCCGGCTGAGACCCAGATCTGACAGGCCACCCTGACTTCTGGCTCCCAATTGCCTGCTCCTGTACCCAGAGTTCAAGGCCCTGCATCTCTGCCTCCTGTGCCTGGACTGCCCTTAAGACAGGAGAAGTAGGGCGGTCCCCAGGCAGGACGTGGTGGTGCTGAGCCTTGTCCAGATGTAGGTGAACCACCGCCCTGCACTGAGCCGCTGGGCCGAGCACAGCTTTCCCAACCCTGGGTGGGCATGCGTGAGGGCATGTGTGAATGTGGGTGAGTGTGAGATGGTGTGTCCAGTGATAATGTTAGGCCACTGGGGGATATTCCCAGAAGCTGCTGGGGCCACATCCTGAGACCTGCCTCTCTCCGACAGTCTCTTAGCAACCAGAGTTCCTGAGGCTCCACCTCCCAGCTCACCCTCACCCCTGCCCACCCCAGGCCTGGGCCTCAGCGGACGTCAGCAGAAACAGTGTGGCCTTGGTCAGAGCAGCCGGGCCTCTGAGCCCTGAAGGTGGAGTCTCAGGTCTGGCCGAACTTCCTGCCTCAAGACTGCTGGAGACACATGCTTTTTCTTCTTTGCCTGCCACCTGCCCATCCCCCAGCCCCCCAGCTCCAGCCCAGCCCCAGGGGCCAAGCCAGACCGAGGCAGGAGGGACTTACATAGGTAAGTCCCTGCGTTGTACCTCGAGGGCAGAGCCTTCTTACCATCACCCCACCAGGCCTTGCGTGGGCCCCTCAGGACTACAGCCTTGTTATGGGTGCCCTCCTCGGGCTATGCACCCCCCCTGCTGTCTTGCTGCCAGCTGGACCAAGCACAGCATCCCATGCCCGTCACTGGCTCTGATCGCCTGCTAGGTGCGCCCTGGACCATCCTCCCTGGGCACGGGCTCTGGACAGGTGCAATCACCAGTAAGCCGAGCAGTAATCCACAGGTGTGTGCAGGTTGCCTGAGGTAGCCACTGAAACGTCTGTGGCTGGTGCTCTTGCCCCACGTCTGGGGACAGTGCTTCCTGTTCCAAAGAGGGGGTCTGAACAAAGGGCCCTGAGAAGCCCACCTGCCCAGGTTGTGTCCTGCTGCCCTGATGGGGCACCCTATCCGGCAGGGCCTCCTCCCGGGAAGAAAGTGCTTCACTGGGGCTGGCAGGAGGCAGGTCCACCACCCTCTTCATCTCTGGACCTTCTGTTGCCCTGGAGGTCACACCCTGACCCCAAGCTCAGACAAGATCCAGCCTGTAGGCTACCCTCAGGTGTCTGTGACTCTCCCAGGCAGGGAGAACTGTGACGGGGGGCAGTGGCATTCCCACACCACCCTGTGCAGATCCTGTGTGTGGATGGGCAGCAGAAGATGGGGGTGGAACGCCACGAAGGGTGCTGCGGGCACGCAGGGGAGGAGGGTGCGCCCTGGGGTCTGCAGAGGCACGCGGGTGTGCCGACTCCGGCTGGGGGCGAGGCCTAAACGGGCTGGGGCGGGGCCTGTTTTCAGAGACTTGTGGGGAGGGGGGTCCCCCACCAACCCGCCCGCCACGTTTCCTTCCGGATGGGGGCTTGTGTCTCGCCGCGCAGGGTCCTGCTATTCTTTCCCCCGGCGCCAGGCCCGCCCCACCCACAGCCACCCTCTCTCCTTCCATCCTGTGTCTTAGGCCTGGTGACAATGACAATGAGGACCATTAAGAGAGCTTTGGCGACACCCTCCGCCTTTCCCAGGCCCCAGCCTGGGGAGGGTCCTCAGTCAGCAGACATCCCGCCCCAGGACAGAACCTCAAGGTTTCCGCCTCTACCCAGACCCTCCCACTCTGACCGCCCTGGCTCAGCCCTCTAAGCCTGCCCGCCCCCCACCCCCCGTCCCTCCCCGAAGTACCCTCTCCCAGGAGGGACTCTCACCTCCGAGAGTCACACTCGTCACCCCTCCCTGACAACCTGTGACCTCCCAGCAGTGTCATCGCAATCCCCAAGGCAGGCCATCGGTAGATCACTTCCACAATGGCCACCAGCAACATGGCCCAACGCAGCTACAAGGATCTTTTCCCACGAGACCCAGGATGGAGTCTTCCTACGGCTTGTGACTTCTGGTGCTGAGGGGCCAGGAAGCTGAGCAACGTGGGACCTGTGGGAGGAAGGGCCTCTGACTCCTATTCCACCCCTCCACCCAGCAAGACCTGATTTTCCTTAAGGGTAAATGGACACAGAGGGTCAGCAGAATGTCTCCACCAGGCAGAGTCCGCCAGCACACTCTTCTCGCAGCTGGCTTTGGGT